TGGCGGCAGTTCCAGTTAATCAGTGGAACGGGGCGAGGGGGGGGGCGTCCCCAGTACAGATCATTAAACCAGGTCCCACCAAACCCAGTTCTGCCAACGCCCGAACAACGGTGGGGTGTCAAACAGTGGCACGAAGTGTTCTCAGAACAGTTCTGGCCGAGACCGTTTTGGTTTAACACATCGGGTTCACGTTCTAAGAACCGCGTGTTGTTGAGCTTGGAACATGAGTTGGGTTGTAAGAACATGATTTAGTGGTGTAAAGGCCTACAAGAATACCGAGACGGTCAGTCCCTGCTCAGAAATGAGTGAAATCAGACATTCTCGCGAGCTTTCAGGGTTGAGGATGGTTTTCATGAGTGGCGCCTCGCGGGGGCGCTCCAGAGATTCTCGACTCGTCCCGGCCTGCCGCCGGGGAGCCGAGTGATGGCTCGACAGCCACAGGGCAACGTTGGGGGCTTCGGGGGGGGGGGCCGGCTCAGCCGGGACGCATCGACCTCCCATCGCACAGTCACCGCCGAGAGGAGCCCGATCGCCCCCCCTCCGCCCAGGAGCGCGCGGTTTCGCAGTCGAGGGCCCATCGCCGATGCATCTGCGATGTGGCGACTCTTCCGGCTCGATGGCTCTCCCCCTCTGTGCCGGTCCCTCGCTGACGTTGCCCCTCAGAGAGTCGGGGACACGGGTCCACAGTGGAGGATCGAGGATCGCCAGGGCCGCGCGAACCGGGGTCGTGGACGCTCGAGGATCGAGGAGGCGCGTTCGCGGTGCGAGGAAGGGACAGCAACATGAGCGCAGATTTTCGGAGGTCCACGCGGATGTTTGGGTCCTGCGCTGGAGCCCCCCGGCGGCGCCCCTGGCGCCGCCTCTGTCGTGGTCCGCTCGCGATGGAGTGGGGTCCAGCGCCGAAGCAAGACATCCGCGAGGACACCCGAGAGTACGTGTGCGCTTGCGTGTGTAGCTTTTCCAAGTGGGGGAGGCCTGCCTCGGTAGAGACCTCTGGGGTCATCCGTCTCTTCTGCCTGCTCCTCCCGCCGTGCTCCTCTCCTGCCTTCGCCCCTCCTCCTGCGAAGGGGGGGCGGGAGGTCTCTCGGGCCGTCTTGGGACCCTCTTCGGGTCGTCTGGGGGCCTCTTGGGCAATTCTGGGGCCATCTTGGAGGCCTCTTGGGCGATCTTGGGGTGATCTTTGGGGGTTCTTGGGCCGTCTCGAACCGTCGGAAGGCCGACAAGAAACAACTCTCAAAACCCTTCACACACTGAAACAACAGAAACAAATCAAGAGCCTTGGCCTCTTCGGGCCTTCTGGAGGCCCACTTGGAGGCCTCGTGGGCCGTCTTGGAGACCTCCTGGGGGGCCTTTCGGGCCGTCTTCGGCAATCGTGGAGCCATCCTGGGCCGTTTTAGAGACTTTTCGGGACGGGGAGGCATCTTGGACCCTCTTGGGCCGCCGTGGAGGCCACCTTGGACTATCTTAGGCGAACTCGGATGCCATCTTGGCCGTCTTGGAGGCCATCAGAACCGTCCTGGAGACGCGGGCTGCACAGCGGCGCGGCCTTCTGGGTGGCCGGCGCGTTGGGCCGAAGCCCAAGGGGGAGTTTTTTTGTAAGAGGAACCAAAACAAATCCCTCAGGACATCTGGCAGCACGCCAGGCACCCCTGTGGCAAGGCAACAGGGGGCGGCGGATGTAGTGGCCTTCGGCCCATCCCGCCACCGTGCCTGGGTTGTGGGTCAGTGTTCTCAGTGATGCTTCTTCGGGTCTCCTGGGGGCGCTCTGGGGTGCCCCTTGGGAGCAGTTTTGGAGCCCGAGATTTCTTATGTTATCATCTTTATCCTCGAAGGGGAAGGAGGGGGGAGAGGCACAGAGGAGGCACCTACTTGTGTAGTGCGGCGTCTTGGCATCGCTCAGACGTGTGCATTTCTTTTTTTTTCTGGGGGGGCGAGGGCCATCGAGAACATCCGAGATCATCTTGCGAGAAACGCACGCACAGTATCAAACACCGAACATGACGTGTAAGTTCGATCGATGGCGAGTCGTAGATTCAGGCGTCAGTAAGGAAGGGCTCCACCTAGGAAGGATGCCTCGGTGGAGCCTGACGAGCTCAGCGCTCTGGTGCGATGGGCCCAGCGTGCGTTTCGCAATTCCTGGAGGCGTGCCTCCCGCCGGGCCTGCAGCTGTGAGGTGTGGCCACGTCTTCGACGTCAGCGAAGAAGAGGCACCGGCGTACCTTCCCAGACATCCGACGACTGTGACTTGTTTCACTGCGCGGCTCTCAAGAGCTGGGAGCAGCTTCGCGTCCCCGACCTTTCCGATGGCCCCGGGGCCCTGACGGGCCCCAGCAGGCAGGGCCGCCGACGATCCGATGCGAGGCGATTCGATTCGCCGCCCTGGGGCCGCGATGACGATCCGATATCGATCCGGTGCGATCCACGGGCACCGGGTGTGGCCGGCCGGAGCCGGGCGCGGCGATCCGTTTCCGAGCCGATTCGGGGCCATTCGTGGGCGGTCCGAGCCGCCTCCGACCCGATCCGACGTCGCGGCTCGATGCAGCTCGGGCCTGGCAGGCCAAAACTTACGTCGGGCCTGTCCCGCTGCAGGAGGAAAAACCAGAAATAGTAAAGCAACAAAGCGTTGTTTTGTTGTTCGTGTATCATCTTTTGATACTTGTGATTCTTCTGGGGCTCCAGAGTCCGCCTGTAGGGGGACATGCGCGACTCAGGCCAACACCGAGGGAAAACAGGCCACAGGCCCAGGCTTGTGTTGCCCCAGGTCGCACTTCAGGACCACGTCCCGGGCATAGTCTCGAGCTCCAGGAAACGCGTCGAAGCCGGGTCGAAACGGTGTCGGACGAGTGTCTCCAGGGGCCCGACGCGTGAGAACCGTCGAGTTTCGGTATTTGTCCGGTGCTCGACCTTCCTTCTCCCGATCAAGGCTAAAGTGGGCTGGATCGTCAGAAGCCCAGGCCGAGAGCAGTGCCCAGGCCGTGGGAGCTCCGGGCACGGCGCGAGAGCACGCCGGTTCCCGGGGCCTCGTCTCGCAGCGCTCGCCGTGGGAGGGCGCCGAGGGCGCCGGGGCTCCCAGACCCCCTCGCGGTGCGAAAACAAAAATCGCAGCGGGAGGTTTTTTCGCGATCTTCGGCCTCTTGGGTTACGATGCTCCAAACCATTTTAGCCGTGATCGCCAGAAAAAAGTTCGAGCGCCAAGAAGAAAGGCCGAAACTCGAAGGTTTTCACGTGTCGGGCCCCGGGAGACACTCGTTCGGCACTGTTTCGACGCCCTTTCGACTTTTTCCTGGTTGCTCGGAATTAGTTCTGGGATGTGGTCCTGGAGTACGATGGGAGCAACGTAACTCTGGGGGCCCTTACCGTGCCTCGTGACCGTCAAAAATCGACTCAGGAGTAAGTCGGGCCTGTCCCTCTACGGGAGTAACGTTAAACATAGTTGTTTCACAAGTAGTCAGGGGACGACTTCTTGGAGTATTTGTTTAACCATTCGGGATGATGTTTTGACTGTTTGTTTACTGTTCGTGCAACATGCGCTTGTGGGGGGACGTGCCCGACCTAAACTCAGGTTGAAGAGCCGGTCCCGGGGAAGGGGTCGAGACCTGTGCGGGTCGACGCTGCGGCAGAAAAAAACGACGCCGGGGGTCTGGGCTCGTGGATGCGGAGGCTGCGGTGAGGAGCAGCGACACCACGACCACCGGGGGGTGGGGAGCTCACCGCCCACCAAACCACCCCAACCCAACCCGAAGGCCCCAATTTGCCCTCCATTTCCAGTTGGGGGGGGTCGGGGAACGTTGAGAAAACACACATGAAGCTCGTACCCCCCCCAACCCGAAATTCGGGTCTTCGGGTTGGGTTGGGGTGGTTTGGTAGGTAGTCAGAGCCACCTCCAGGGAGAACATCCACGATTTGCCCCCCCTGAGCTGGGCATGGGGGAACGGGACGGAAGGGAGTGGAAGTCCGAAGTCCGCGAGGGAAGCGAAATGAGGAACAAGGCCGGCTCGGCGCCCCTGCCAGAGCCGCTGGGAGGCTGGCCCCGCGCAGCCTCACCTGCTCCTCGAGGTCGGAGTCAAGATGAAACAAGAGAGCTCTCAAGCTGTGGATGCGCGATTTGTACGATACTGCCTGGCTCTAGTTCATGGAAAACGTGTCCCTACTAGTTTCGAGCCTCGGTGGCTACGGAAGCGCAAGACAGGCATGCACGTACGTGTGCAATCTTGTTGCAGCAAATCATGCGGGGAATTATCGCAATCATCCGCTGCGCTGGCACGGCAACGATCACTCTTCCGTGGCTCCGGCGCGCCGCCGCTGGCGCCGGCGGTGCACGGCCGCCTCCACGTCTTCCTCGTCCAGGTCGTAGGCTGTCTCGAGCGGGGGGGGTCTCGAGCGGGGGGCACACCACCAGGGGGACACCCCCGCCGGGCTCCCCCCGCCCGTGCTCCCCAGGGGCGGTAGTGCCACTCCTCCTCGTTCCCGAGAGGCTCGAAGACGAGGAGGCTCGAGGGCGACGAGCCCCGAGGGCGGATGGTCGAGGGTCGGTGCGCGACGGCGGCGAGCGCCACGGAGGCGTCGCCGAGGGCGCTGCGGCCCGAGCCCCCCCCCCCCAAGCGGGCGCCTTCAGCAGGCGCTCGTCCAGGTGGCCATCGAGGGTCAGTATCATTTAGCCAATCCCCATCCCCCCATCCCCATCCCCTTCGAGACCCCCACCAAATTACCACCCCGGTTGGGGATACACCCCTCGAAGCCCGAAGGGGAACGACCGGTATCCCCATCTTGGGGAGTACATCGGCCAGTGGGGCCCAGGCCACCCCGCTGGGGATGGGGATCGGCTAAACGATACTCAGAGGGAGCGGGCGAGATTTTCTTCCAGGGTATTCGCATCGCCCGCGCGCGCTGGGTAACCCGCCCTCTTCTGGGCCCCCCCCGCGCGTGCCGGCCGCGGCCGCCGCCCGCAGACAGACGCGCCGCGCGGCCGCTCGCCGCGCGGCCGCGCGCCGCGCGCCGCGATGCAGCCGCCGAGCAGCGCGCGGGGGAGCTACCGGGCCGTGCCGTCGCGGGCGGGGACGCCGCCGGCGTCGGCGGTGGCCGTGGTGCCGGCGTCCAGGCGGCACGCTCGCCTCGGGCGCTGCGTGATGGGAGGGCGATGCTCGTTTTGAGGACCTTCCTCCTCCTCCTTCTCCTCCTCCTTCTCCTCCTCCTTCTCCTCCTCCTCCTCCTCCTCCTCCTCCTCCTCCGCGTCGTCCTCGTTCTCCTCCTCCTCCTGCCTCCTCCTCCTCGTCCTCCTCTTCCTCCTCCCCCTCCTCCCCCTCCTCCCCCTCCTCTTCATCCCCCTTCTCCTTCTGCTCCTCCCCCTCCTCCTCCCTCCTCGAGCATCGGCTTGACCAGCGACGCAGCAGGTCGTTTAGGCGAGAGATGTCTTGGATGCTGAGGCCCACCTAACGGATCTGTGCGACTCCAGTTCGATTCAAGTTCGACTCAAGGCCGATTCAGGTTCGACTCAAGGTCGACTCGGATCGACGAACGTTCGGCGCAGCTTCGACGCACGAGTGGAGCGAGTGGCTCCAGGAAGGTCACCAGAATGAGCAGTTCATGGCTACTGGGGGGGTGCAGAAAGGTGCACCTTTTCCGCCCGAAAGGGGTCCTCAAGGGGCGGCCCCCGTGGCCCACAAGGGGCACGGGGGGTGCGCTCGCGCGAGACAATCCAAGAACCCTTGCAAACCCCCTGTCGACAAGCAGTCGTTTTTCCACGCGTTGGCGGGGAGCTCTTGATGTCCGTCGAGGGCCGGCGGGTTTTGTAGGGATTTGTTCGTCGCACCCGCGCGGCGGTGCGCACTGGGCGCGTGCTGCAGCAGCGCGGGTGCACCGCGTGGTGGGACGAGCATGCGGTCGGCGCCACCCCAGCGTAGTTATGTTATGTGTTCGTCGCCCCCCCCCCCTCCCCAGGGGCGACGAGCGCACCGAGAAATCGTATAATAGAGGCGTCGTGGCGGGCGTTTTCTGGCCACGCCGTTCAGGAAACGATGCACTACAAGATGGGTATACCGGATGTTCGGGTCGGGCGCGCGCGAGGACATACAGTATGAGCATGTCTCTGTGCGTCCCATGCGGGTGCGGCGCAGGATTGCCGAATCACATGTTCTGAAGCCGGTTTCGGGAACTGCGAGCGTGCAAGCACACTGCACGATTTGCGATGGAACACTGAAGGGTGTGTGTGTGTGCAGATGTGTTGGACATCTTGCCAAGTGTGTGTGTGTGTGTGTTTGCTCGTATTTCGGCATGTGCGCGCGCGTGTGGAATGTGTGTCATTTGTTGCCACGGATGTTTGTGGTAAGGAACGCCGGTTGACATAAAACAAGCGTACTGGCATAGGGTTATGTTGCAGGGCTGAGAGGGGCCATGCCCGTCCTAGCAGGGACGGTATGAGCCCATATTGAAAATGGACGACGCGGGGAGACCAGTTGTGATCTGCAGCTTCCCAGGTGGGCCGATATCACGCCAGGGGCCGAGGGCGGCCCCAGGGGCCAAGGGCGGTAGACGATGCTCACTTGTGGGAGGAGAGGATCCGCAGCGCAGGCTGCGTGGTGCACGCGGTGCTGTGAAGCTTACGCGGTGCCCCCTGTGTGGTGCGAGCTTGCGCGGCGGAAGCGCAAGCTGCGCAGTGCCTCCAGCGCAGAAGGTCCTCACGCCGCGCCCACGAAGCGCCCAGACGCACGCGGGGCGGCCACCAGGTGAGATCCCCCCCTCCTCCTCCTCCTCCTCCTCCTCGTGCTGCTCCTCCTGCTCTTCCTCCTCGTCCTCCTCCTCCTCATGCTCCTCCTCCTCCTCCTCCTGCTCCTCCTCCTCCTCCTCCTCCTCCTCCTCCTCCTCTTCCCCCCCCAACCAGACGGAACATGTTCGGAATCACAGGCCAATGTTCACAGCCCCGTATCATCAGGAGTAATTCGATAAGGGCTAATTCGGGTTTCTTTTTCCGGGAAGCCGAACCCGAGTTACCCTGGGCCCGGGACCTTGGACAACTGGGGCGCCCAGAGCCCCAGATCATCAGGGGTAATTCGGGTTCGGGCTAACTCGGGTTCGTTCATCGGGAACCCAAACCCGACTTGCCCCGGTCCCGAGTTACCCCGGACAACTCGGGCGTCTAGAGCCCCAGATCAGCAGGGGTAATTCGGGTTCGGGCTAACTCGGGTTCGTTCGTAGGGAATCCGAACCCGACTTGCCCCGGGCCCGAGTTGCCCCGGATAACTCGGGCGCCCAGCTAAGGGAGAACGTCGAATTGCAAGCGCTGTTCTTGGGAGCACCTGTACTTCGGGCCCTGCCCTGGAACGACGTCGTCGTCGCCGACGACGGCGACAGACGTCCATCACAGGCCCCCCCCTAAGAACTTGAAACATCCGCCCCGGCCCCCAGAACTGGCGTTTGCCAGGCAGCCCTGGGCCTTTGCCAACAACGGCCCTGCCCTGCTCGGTCCTCTCCTTGGGGCGACTCTGCGCAGCCCTTTGGCCCAGAGGGCTTCGCCTGCCGGGGTGCTCCGTGCGAGGGTTCTTCTTCAGACCCCTCTCTTCGACCCCCAGACGGCGACGCTGACGACGGCGACGACGACATCGGTGGCGGCGGCGCTGGCGACTGTGACGGCGGCAGCGGCGGCCCCAGATGCCCTCAGACTCTGAGTGGGGGGCGCCGAACTGGGCGGGGCCCCCGGCTTGGCGGGGTCGCCCTCACCCAGGCCTCGCCACGGTCGCAAAGTCGCCAGGGCACGCGCTCCCAACGCTGACGAGGGCGAGGATCGCTACGATCGGAACGTTGGGCTCGACGGCTGACAGCAGTCCCTGCCGATTTTGAACAGGGCTCACTGTCGAAGCCGTCGCGGGCGATGTCCATTCGAGGCAGAAGGCCGCCTGCCCAACAGCGGCCACTGTCGGGTTTGGACAGCCTTTACCTTTGGGCATCGTGCCCATTTGTTCCGTATCCGGTTCGGGCGTCGAAAGGGGACGACGACGAGGCGGCGACGGCGAGGACGACGACGATGGCAACAGCGGCGGCGACGGCGGCGGCGATGACGACGACCGACGTCCATTCTGTACAGAGCTCACTGTCGATGACGTTCATTCGAGGCCGAATGCCGCCTGCCCAACAGCGGCCACTGTCGGGCTTGGACAGCCTTTGCAGTTGGGCATCGTGCCCATTTGTTCCGTATCCAGTTCGGGCGTCGAAAGGGGGCGACGACGTTGGCATGATGGCGACGGCGAAGACGACCACGATGGCAACGTCGGCGGCGACGGCGGCGACGATGACGAAGACCATCGACCTTCATTTTGAACGGAGCTCACTTCCGATGATGTCCATGCGAGGCAGAAGGCCGCCTGCCCAACAGCGGCCACTGTCGGGTTTGGACAGCCTTTGCCGTTGGGCATCGAGCCCATTTGTTCCGTATGCAGTTCGGGCGTCGAGAGGAGACGACGACGATAGCGTGGCAGCGACGGCGAGGACGACGACGATGGCAACAGCGGTGGCGACGGCGGCGGCGATGACGACGACGACCGACCCTCAAATCTGTCCGGAGTTTCCGATGGGAATCTGGCTGTGGCCGCGAGGGCGACCCCGCAGGCTCAGAAAAGTGCGAACACCTCCGATCTCGATCGACGCCGACGACGAGGACGGCGACGATTACGACGGCGACGACGCCGACGACGGAGACGACGACGACGACGACGACCGCGACGACGACGACGACGACGACGACGACGACGACGACGTCCGCGACGGCGACGGCGGCGCGGACGGCGACAGCGACGACGACGGCGGCGCGGACGGCGACGGCGACGACGACGGCGACGGCGACGACGACGGCGTCGGCGACGACGACCACCACCACGGCGACGGCGGCGCCCACGGCGATGTGCACGGTGACGACGGCGACGATGACGACGGCGACGGCGGCGCCGACGGCGACGACGACGACGACGACCGCGTCGACCGACGACGACGACGGCGGCGGCGGCGGCGGCCGCAGGCAGAGGCCGAGCGCGGCGCCGGGCGCCTTCCACTGGCCTTCGGCGGCCGCGCCGGGCGCGCCCTGGCTGCCGGCCTGCGACGGCCTGCCGCTGCTGGAGGCGCGGGGGGGAGAACAAAGTCAAGCAGTGGCGAAGCGTCCCGGCGTGGCTGTAGGCCTCCACCAAGCCATGTTCTAAGAACATTCTGCTGTGGTGTCTACGGGATGCTCTTCGAGCAGTTCTTGCCTGAGACTGTCGTGTTCAGCACGCCGCGTCTATGCTCTGAGAGCACTGTTTTGTTCTTGGAACATTCTTGGGTTCTAAGAGCGTTCCGTGGTAGGCCTATAGAAATGCTGGGACGGTCGTTCCCTGCTCAAAAAACACACAGACACAATTAACCGTCGATCCTCAGGAAAATATGGGGCAAATCTGGACAATAGGGGGGAAGACGAGAACCTAGAAAATAGGGAAAAATATGAGAATCTTCGGATTTGTGTATTTATTTGGGTGTGTGTCCCAAGGCCCCTTGGCACGGCGGGCAGCGGCGGGGCGTCCTCAGAACGTCCAAAGAAGGTCCAAAGAACGAACGTCCAGGCGTTCCGTATTCAGGGTTCAGTCGGGTCTGTCCCTCTACAGGAGGATTTTTAAAAATGGTCATTGTTTAACCATCCGGGAGTTTTTTGGGGGACTACTGTTTATTATTTGTCTCAAATCCGCCTGTAGGGGGACACGCCCGACCTGAGGTTCGGGGGGGGGGGGCGGGGGGGCACGGCGTGCAGTGGCGGGGCGCCCTCAGAACGTCCAAAGAACGATAGCGCCCCTTGAGGATCGAGGATCGACCTTCGAGGATTCAAGCAGTGGCGAGGCGTCCTTGCTCGCCTATCGGCCCACCAAAGCATGTTCTACGAACCGTTTGTGGTATGCACGAAATGTTCTCAGACCAGTTCTGGCCAGGACTGTCGTGTCGTAACACGCCGGATTGATGTTCTACGAACCTTGTTTTGGTTCTTGGAACAGATCTGGGTTCTAAGCACACCTCGTGGCAGGCCTATGGGAATGCCGGGACGGTCGGTCCCTGCTCAACAGGACGTCCAAAGAACGACATCGCCCCTCGAGGATCGAGGGTGGACCTTCGAGGATCGAGGATCGACCTCTGAGGGTCGAGATCGCCCCTCGAGGATCGAGGATGGACCCTCGAGGATCGAGGATCGACCTCTGAGGGTCGAGGTCGCCCCTCGAGGATCGAGGATGGACCTTCGAGGATCGAGGATCGACCTCTGAGGGTCGAGGTCGACCCTCGGGGGCCGAGGGCCGACGCCTCGAGGATTCGCTTCGAGCAGTGGCGAGGCGTCCTCGGACCTGGCACGGATCCGACGCGGGCCCGACGCGGATTTGAGGCGTAGCCAACGGGTCCGTCGCGGATTCGGCGCGGACTCCAGGCGGACAGTTGAAGAAGCCAGGCGTTTCTCTTCTTCTGGATCTGATTCGTACCCGACGACTCCGACTTGAAAATTCGACGCGGGCGGATTCGACGCGGATGGGGGGGGGCAGCGGGACAGACAAGGTTCCTCGAAGCTGCAACATGATGCGTGCCCCTTGTAGGGCTGGTGGGATTCACCGAAGACGTCTTGAAGACGTGGCGAAACCCGAACCCTAGCCCCCCCCCCCCTCGACTCGGGATAATCGATCATTGGTGGGGGGGTACAGTCAACCCGCATAGTCAGGATGGGCAACCTTCCCGAGGGTACCCTTGCACCCTTGCGCCCTTGCACCCTTCGGCCCATCCTCGGCGACTTTCGCTGGCCGGCCTCCTCGGACAAGCGTGAACGCCAGCCCCTCCGAGGCCCTCGCATGCCTCACCGCGCGTCCTCACGGCGCGGGCTGACCTGTGCGGCCCCTCGAGGCCGGAGCCTCGAGGACCCAGGCTCGACCTCCGCGGGCCGAGGGTGCGCGTCGCGCGCCGCGGCCTGGGCCGGAGAGCCCCCCCCCTTGGGATTCTTCCGCGGTGCCCTCCTGCGGTCCCTGCGGCGCCCGATCGGAGCCCAATGCGCACGTCGCGGAGGAGGTGCCTTCCTGGGCATCCTACGGTGCATGATCGGAGTTGTGAGGTCCCCACGGGGCCCGATGGGAGCCATACAGGATCCACACGGAACCCACAAATGATTGTGGGGGATCCCAACGGTAGGAGATCTGTAGGGTCCACACGGAATCGTATAGTGGCTTTGTGGGATTTGTACGCCTTTCCGTGGGGCTTGTTGTTCTTAGGATCCCTACGCAACCTTTGAGGGGCTTTCCAGGACCCCTGCGGCACCCAAAGGGAGCCCTATGGGATCCTGACGAGACTCGACGATAGCAGACTTCGGATCCGATCGAGCTTTGTAAGGATCCCATTTAACTTGTATCCAGCTCAGCAGGGCCCTCTGTAGGGGCTGTACCAAGCTGTGTATGGATCCCAGTAGCGTTGTATCCAGCTCTGTAGGGATCCCTGTAAGCCTGTATCCAGCTCTGTAGGGATTCCATTCGTGCTGTGTCCAGCTCTGTAGGGGATTCCTACTACAGCTGTACCGAGCCCAGTAGGCATCCCGATAGCGCGTGCATCGTTGTAGGGACCCCAGTAGAGCTGCATCCAGCGCTGTAGGGATCCCATTCGAGTTGGATCGAGCTATGTAGGGATCCCACCAGATCTTTATTCACCTCTGCAGAGTCCTACAGTGATGTACCCAGCTCTGTAGGGAATCCTGCTGGTAACCAGCTCTGTAGGGATCCCATTCGAGCTGTATCCAGCTCATCAGGGATCTTTGTAGGGTTGTATCGTGCTGTGTATGGGGCCCCGGTAGAGATGTACCCAGCTCCGTAGGGACGTTCATGGAGTTGCAGCCAGCTCTGGAGTGATAGCTGTATCCAGCTCTGTTGGGATTCAGCTCTGTAGGGATCCTACGAGAGTTGGGTCCCGTCCTGTAGAGACCCAAGCAGAGCTGTGTCGAGCCTCGTACGGATCCCAGTCGAGCTGTACCCAGTTCTGTAGGGATCCCACGAGAGCATCATTCAGCTCTGCAGGTATCCCTCTTGAGCTGTCTCCAGCTCCGTAGGGATCCCGATAGGGCTGTCTTCAGCTCCGAAGGAGTCCCAATCGGAAACTCATGTTGAAGTGGAGCCGCCTTGCATCTGTGCAGCCCTAGCGTATGCTTTGGCTGCCTTTCCTAAGACATGTTCGGCCGGTTGCGCAATACCGAACATGCTTCATTATTGCAGCCGTTGTATGTGTTAAGGTCCACAGCGAACGGCAAGTGTTAAAGAAAGAAGGAGCCGCCCAAAAGCCATGTGTTTGCCCCAAACTTTCACAACGACTGCGGGCGGCCTGTAAGGCGCGCTCAATCGTAGAAGCCGCCGTCCAGCACTGGAACTGCTGCAGACCTGCACGACGAATGTTCGCGGCGCTCCATTTTGAAAACGACCCTCCCGCTTGATCGAGACTGTTGGAAACTTTGAGAAGACGGATGTTCGCGGCACTACGGCGAGAGCCTAGTGTTGAAAGCCAGCCCTTCCGCCTCTGACGCCGACTATTAGGGTGGCTGTGCACGGCGCTAAGGCGAGCGCCATATTTTGAGTCTACCCCCTACGTCTGTGACGCTGTCATGTTGCAACTTTCAGTTTTCAGAGTCATACATGGTGAAGAAGTCTCAGGCGAAACGCCCAGCCCGCCCTGCCGAAACGCCTGTGGGTGCGGCAGGCAAGGTCTAGTTCTACGCAGAAGGAGCGGAACGAAGTGACAAAGAGAAAGTCTAGGCCTCCGAGATGGGGTCCGAGTAGATGGGGTCGGAGGATCGCGCCGCATCGCCGACGCATCGGCGATGCGGCTCGATGTGGAGCCCGTGATTCCTCACGCCGACGTCGGCGATGCATCGCCGACGTCCCCGATGCATCGCCGATACGTCGGCGATGCACTGGCGATGCGGCGCGATCCTCCGACTCCGTCTGCTCCGACCACATCGAGGAGGCCTCTAGAAAGAGAGAGAGAGAGAGAGGAGCAGGAGTAGGAGGAGCCACGCCGCAGGAGGGCCCGCTGCACGGCGCTGCCCCGCTGGTCAGCCCCATGGCCTCGCCGCTGTCGGTGATGAGCGCGGCCTCGCCGCAGATGACCGCCTGGGACTACAACCCGGAGTCGACCTACAACGTGCAGGCCGCCGGCCAGGGAGGGCCCCAGAGCTTCGACGGTCCGATTTCCCAGTGCCAGCGCTGTTCAGATGTAAGGTTTCGGCCTTCTGGGCACGTCCTTTGGCCCTGGGGCCATCGAAGAGCAGGTCCGGGGCGAACAAATTGGCCAAGAGCGTCGTCGAAGTGGAAGGAGGGGGACGGGGAAGGGCAGAAAGAGGCGAAACGAGCACCTGATGATGACAAGGGTGACCCTGATCAGGGCCCCGGGGGAAGGAGTGGACCTAGCGCTTGCAGGTAAAGGGTAAGGGGGCTTCGAGGTTCGGCGCCGTCGCTTCTCATGTCCCTGGGAGGTCTCTGAAGGTTCTCGGCGTCGCGACTGGATGTAGCTTGCAGAATTGGCCAGGATGGACTCCAGGAGGGGCCCGGAGATCGATCCTGAGCGGAGTTTGTTCGGACGAGAGAAGGGGAGGAGGAGGGGGAGGAGGAGGCGGAGGAGGAAGAGGAGGAGGAATAGGAGGAGGAGGACGACAACGACGAGGAGGAGGATGAGGAGGAGCAGGACGAGGAGGAGGAGGAGGAGGAGGAGGAGCAGGACGAAGAGACGGAAGAGAAGGAGGATGAGGAGGAGGAGGAGGAGGAGGAGGAGGAGGAGGAGGAGGTGGAGGAGGAGGAGGAGGAGGCGGAGGAGTCGACCTACAACGTGCAGGCACCAGCGAGGCAGGACGGTGGAATAATGAACCCAGACCTCGACTCGTTGCGAAAAGATCATGGCGAGAGGGTTTTGGGTGGTGTTCGGCCCGTGGGCCCCGGGACCGCCACAGACCTGACCTGGACGGAAAACATGCCCCGGGTTAGGTGCCGAGATTTGAAAGAGTGCATTCTGGAGAAAATAATAAGACGACGTTGGGGCGTTGGGGAGGGAGGAGGAGGAGGAGGAGCAGCAGGAGCAGCAGGAGCAGCAGGAGCAGGTGGAGGAAGAGCCGAGCGTTGCGCATCTTGCAATGTCTTGAAGCGTTCACATAAAGAGCAGCCTCACGTTCAGAAGAGCTTTGGGTACGTATCGGGTATTTTGTTTGTGCCTTCGTGGGCGGCGGGGCGTTCCACCAAACATTCAGTCGCTGATGTAAGCTTCGCTCGACGGCCTTTTCGGACGGCGGCGGGACTTCTCGGAAGCCCTCGGTCCTTCTGGTAAGTTTTCTGCTTATTCGGGAAAGGCTTAGAACACTCTTCAGACAGCTGGGGGACTTCCGAGCCTTCTTAGAAGGCCCGCCCATTCCCACTTCCCCCTGGGCTTGCCGCCGAGAAATGCATTGTGGAGTCCAAGCCCGGATAGCGAAGCCTCTGGAAGGAGCTCCAGAAGCTCTTGGAATGAGCCTCCAACTGAGCTTCTGGATAGTTTGGTAGCGCACGTATTGGGAAACAGTTAGAAACGGCGTTCCGGGACAAGCTGCAAGTTCAGGCAAGGCGCTGCGAGGTGTCCTGCCGGAAGCTGGATCGAGCTCCGAGGCTACCTTGTGGTGCGGGCTTCTAATCTGAAACCCTTGTTCGGATTCGGGCTGATGGCTCCTTAGCAAAGAGGGTCTCAAACATGTACGCAATAGTTCGTGCAATCGTTCTTGCGGGAGGCGCCCGCCGTGCAGTGTCGGCACGTGGCTGTAGCGTGCCATGCGCCATAGGATGAACTATTGCATTTTATCTTTGCGACCCTATTGCGAAAGACTCCCTCAGCCCTTAGCCGGAATAGTAGCTCTCGGAGAGCTATTTGGGAAATTCTTTGAGGCCCCTCCCTGGGCACGGTTCTGCATCCCGGATGCTTGTTGGATCTCTCCTCGGCATGGAGGCACGGCTTCCTCCTCCTCCTCCTCCTCCTCCGCCTCCTCCTCCTTCTCCTCCTCCTCCTCCTCCTCCTCCTCCTCCTCCTCCTCCTCCGCCTCCTCCTCCTCCTCCTCCTCCTCCTCCTCCTCCTCCTCCTCCCCCTCGACCGAGCCTCCTCTGCTGCGCGAGAAGCTGCCCGAACTCTCCAGAGCTCCAGCCCCCGGGTCGCAGAAGCGCACGCGTGGGCAGGGGCACGTGCACCAAGCAACCGGGCCCCGCTTCCGTGCAGCGTCGGCGCGCTCCGTCGCCGATCCTCCTCCTCCTCCTCCTCCTCCTCCTCCTCCTCCTCCTCCTCCTCCTCCTCTTCCTCCTCATCCTCCTCATCCTCCTCCTCCTCCTCCTCCTCCTCCTCCTCCTCCTCCTCCTTGCTCCTGTTGGCCTCGCTCGGACGTGTGCGTGCTTGTGCTCGGCGAGGGCCCTCGGAGGAGCGTCAGGGATCGCTTCGCGACAGGATAACAGCACGAGATCGAACAGCACCTGTGCGTGTTTGTGCCCGGCGAGGGCCCTCGAGGGACGTCATGGATCACCTCGCGGCAAGATAACAGCACGAGATCGAGCAGCGCACGTGGAGTCGACGTGCGAGCGAGACGGCACCCTCTCCGATCCGTGCGTCCGGCGTCCGCGCGCCAGACCTTCGGATCTGGAGTTCGTGGCAGCGTCTGCTGGGCCCGAGCTCGGGGAGCGCGCCCGCACACCTCGGGCGCCCTGAAACGCTGCACGCCTCTGTGCCTCCTGCTCCTCCTCGTGGCGCGGGGATCTTTTCCCGATGGGTCCGGCTCGTAGGTAGAGTTAAGTCGGGCCTGTCCCTCTGCAAGTGGGACATTCACAAGTCATCAGAAAATAGTCAGGGGACGATGTTTGACTATTGTTGACAATCTTTTGAATCTTTGTCTACTACTTTTCATTTTCTTTTACAATCCGCCTGTAGGGGGACATGCCCGACCTAAATTTATAGTTTAAAATTGAAGACATCACAATGCTGCAGTACCATAAACGTTCGGAGCCCCGCGCGGATTTCTTGGATCGGGGCTGGACTCCTTGCCCTGGCACGCGGAGCGTGCAAGTGGCAGCGCCTGAGGCGCTGCCGGGGGGGATCAGCACAGTTTATGCAGCGTTTATTTTCCAACGCAGGAAGACGGAGGTGGACATCTCGCAGCTCTCGTCTCGCTTTGCTTTGTTCTCCGTGCTTGAGTTCTGAGTTCATCGACGTGTTTGGGCGGCGCGTGCAAGGATGTGTACGGACATGCAGTCAGAGCGCTGAGATAGTGACCGGTTTGGGTTCAGGACGGGCTGTGGCTTTCAGACCGCTCCTGAGATCTAGGCCAGGGATCCTCAGCGCGGTCGAGGCTCGCTGTGGCCAGAAAAGCTTCATTCGGTCCTTCTCTGGCGCTCGCTATGGGAGCACGACTGCTACACCAGAGGGGGAAGACATCACGATACAGCGATGTCAGGGATATCCGCGCGGATTTCTCGGATACGCGCCGGACCCCCCTGGCGGCGCCTCCGGCGCCGCCCCTGGCGCGCTCCGCGCGCCAGGGAGGGGTTTCGAGCGCCGATCCGAGAAATCCGCGCGGACCTTCGAGTTTTCATGTTTATGCGTGGTTGGATTCCCTTCGGAATTTCGGCCAGAGTGTTTAAGAAAGAGCAGTGTGTCGCTATCTGTTTTTGTCCCTGGTTGTGGGCGTGTGCGTGACATGCTTGTCGTTGCAGAGCCTTGAGTACTTCGCTCTCGCTTGTGCGCATCCGCGTCGCGCGGACCGGCGGTGCTCAGGCATTCTACGCGGCGGATGCGACGCTTGGCCAGTGGCGCAGGACCCGGGGGCTGCTCAAGGTGCCCCTGGTCCCAAGGCGCCCCCGACCTCGTCGGTCTATCCTGGAGCCCACGGGGCCCTCTGGGCCTCGCGACGGGGTGCTCCAGGGGCCGTGGGGGGCCCGGGGGCATCGTGGGCCAGGGAGACGTCTGGCAACACCCGCAGGACAGTCACGCAGTTCAAGAAGGAGCTCACAAAGCAGCCGAAGTATGATCCATCTGCGGCGTCCCCGCAGTCGATCAGCATACAGCCCGAGGTCAACGGCGATTCGGACCCGGCGAGCTCAGAAGACGAGAGGTCCTCTGTGACTGCCTCCCAGGTGTCGTTCATCACAGCCTCTTGGAGCCTTGGAATGCGGAGGTGGAATCCTCAGTTATACCATTGGGTCGCCTCTCGCGTTGGCACAAGAACGAAGGCCTGCCTTATTCAATCGCTTCGCTCACTCCGCTGTCTCACATTACATCGTCGCTGACACCTGCCTCTGTGCTCGCGGTGTCTGAGAAGACGGTGGGTGGCAGTAGTTTCCCTGAGCTGTCACGTGAATCTCGCTTGGGGGAGAATCAGTGGCAGGGTAGTTGTAATGCAGCACTCAATGGAGCAAGCCCCCACCGAACTTCCGTCAGTGCATTCCGCCACTGTGTTTGGGTCGTGGGTCAGGGGTGTGTTGAATGCCTCTCGGGTTCTATCGAGATGCCTCACGAGGGCCTCTTTGAGGCTTCTCGGGGGCCTCCTGGGGGCTTTTGGGGTCCTCTCTGGGGTCTGCTGGTGGCCTTAGGACGTTTGTTGGAGCCTCTTGGGGCCTGCTGGCGGCTTATGGGGGGCTGTTGGGGGCCTGCTGGAGCTCTCGGAGGGGGCCTCTTGAGCCATCTTGGGGGATGTTCGGGTTGTCTAGGTCCCTTTGTGCGTCTTGGGGCGCTCTTGGGGACTGGGACCGCCTTGGAGCCATCTGGTGGGCTTCTTGGGTTGTCGAAAGCATGGGCAGGCGAGAGCGCTAGCATAGTTTAAACATGATTCTACAGGCTTGCGCCACATCCGCCGACCCCTTGTATTCCTTGTGATAGCAGCGCGAAATCGTCAAGCATCATTAGTCGTTTTCTCTCGTCTTGCAATGTCTGGTCCCTGCAGCGCGGCATTCAATGCAGCTTACCTTTCGTCTATAACCTTCGTTTAGGATGCAATATCTTATGATAGCATTCAGTGCAGCTTACCTTATGGTTGTCTTACTTTGAGATGCAAGGGGCTGGGCTCCGGCCCGCCCGCGCCGCCACTAAGGGGCCTGCCAGCCCGTGAGGCGTTTTCCCACAATCGGGGAAGCACGGGAGACCTTCTGAGAGTTATCGGTGAAACTCTCACCACAATTTGGAAGACCTGGTCAGCTCCCCGTCAGGCGTTTTTCCGCAATCGGGGAAGCATGCAAGACCTTCTGAGAGTTATCGGTTTAGCCCTCAGCATTCGAGAAAACTGGACGTCCCAAATGGTCCCAAGACGGTTCAAGAGGGCCCCAAGACAGTCCAAAAGAACCCCTAAAAGGCCCCAAGAGGACGGCCCAGAAGACCCAGGGCAAATAAGAGTGATCGGTAACGCAGAGAGCTCATCACGCCAAGGCTCCCAACGGCGAAAGCGGTGAGATACGGCTTTATCCCGATACCGTCAAGACGGCCGAAGAGGGCCTTCTCTTGGCGGCCTGTTGGGGCTCTCTTGGCGGCCTCTAAGGGCTTTCTTAGGAAGCTCGTGGTGCTTTCTTAGGCCTCTCTCGGTGTCGTCTTGAGGCCCTCTCGGGCCGTCCTGGGGACCGCTTGGCCAGCCACCAACAGGCTTCCAAGAGGTCCGCTCCCAAGAGGCCGAGGCGGAAGGGGTGGAGGGGGAAGGGGGGATGGATGGGGAATGAGGCAGAGGGGAGAGGAGGAGGAGGAGGAGGGGAGGAGGAGGGAGGAGGAGGAGGAGGAGGAGGAGAGGAGGAGGAGGGAGGAGGAGGAGGAGAGGAGGAGGGGAGGGGGAGGGGGAGGGGGGGAGGGGGGAGGGGGAGGGGAGAGGAGGAGGAGGAGGAGGAGGAGGAGGAGGAGGAGGAGGAGGAGGAGGAGGAGGAGGAAGAGGTGGACGATGAGGATGAGGAGGAGCAGGAGGCAGGAGGGGGAGGAGGATGATGAGGAGGAGGAAGAGGAGGAGGGGGAGGAGGAAGAGGTGGAGGAGGAGGAGGAGGTGACAAGTCGTTCAACGCCACGGCTCTCGGGAGCGCGGGGAATTGGAAAAAATCTTAACGCCAAGGCTACCGCTAAGAACGATGACGTAACGAGTTTCGATCACCAAGGTTGCGATTGCGCACAGTGGTGTGAAACATCGCTTCCAGCGCCAAGGCTGTGATTACGCGAGCTATCGCGGGCAAGTCCTTGAAACGCCCTTTCCGTTCCCGTGCTGGTCCACGTGACGGAAAGAACCAGGTACGAGTGATGACGTTGTGTTTGGGCGAAGACTTCGAGGGAGGGGTCCTGGGGAGGGGGGTGGGGCGGATGGATGAGTGTGAATGGCCGCTCGGGGCGTGTTGGGGGTCTCTTGGGCGCTTCTTGGGCCGTTTTGGGCGCTCACGACGGTCCAAGAGGGGTTCAAGACGGCCGAAGATACTTCCAAGACGCCCAAGAACGCTCCGAGAGAGTCCAAGACTGCCCAAGACTGCCCAGGGGGGCTCCACGACGCCCCACAAGGCGCCCACGGTGCGCCCCCAAACGCTAAAAAAACATTGATTTTCCTAAGGAAAACGTGCATGTTGAGTATGCGCGAGTTTTCGGCCTCCACGGCGTCGGTGACGGCCCAAGAGGCCCCCAAACCCGCTCCAGGACGGCCCAGGGTGCTCCCAAGAGGATCAACACAGCCCGAGAGGGCCCTAAGACGACCCAAGAGGCGCCCAAGACGGCCCAAGGGACGCGGATGTAGCGGTCGACGACGGGGAGACGAAAAGGATTAGGACAATGTACTGCGCGACGTGCAGCCCTGTCAAAGCCAAGCAAAAGTCGCGGAAAAGGCAACGCGAAGTGGAACGAGAGCGTGGAACGAACGCGCCCGCGATGTACGAACGATAAGTGCCTGTCGCTGTATGACGGAAGGGCGGAGGTGTCAGAAGCTCAGAAGAAGCACGAAACTGCGGGGGAGAGGCTCTGTCAGAAATGCGTGGAACAACGAGAGAGAGAGAGAGAGAGAGAGAAATAGAGAGAGAGAGAGAGAGAGAGAGGTGCGACGGGGCAATGCGGAGGCAGCGAATCGCAAACGGAAAGCCGAGGCGGACGCGAAGCCGCTGACGTGCGCGACGTGCGGAGGAGCGTTCTCGGACACGAAACATTTGAAGCCCAACCAAGTGGAACATCATCGAAAGGCGAAAGGAGCCAGAGTGGTGCGCGGAGGCTGCAAGGACTTCGGGTTCACAGCCCGCAGTTGCCAGCCGTATCAGTGCAGCGGCGCGTGCGAGAGAAGGCTACCGAAGTCGGCGTTCCCCGACCCGCACATTGCCCCGCGAGACGCCAACAAAAGGCACCCTGAAGTGCAAGACATGCAACTGATGTCGAATCGGGCACGCGTGCTGGTGAGAAAAAGGAGGACGGGACAGGCGAATGGAGATGAGGCGGAGGATTGGGGGGGGGC